ATTTAAAATACTAACACTACCATTTAAAAGTCTGGAATAATTAAGATTGTTTAATGGTTTTAAAGGAAGTTTCTTCTGCTCACAAAGGCAGCATTTATTTGAGAAGATTACAGTAAAAACTATTATATTGTGAAATATTATTACAATTTAAAATAGCTGTTGAATATATTGTAAAATGTGATTTATTACTGATCAAAACTGAATTTTCAGCATCATTACTCCAGTCTTCAATGTCACATGATCCTTTAGAAATCATTCTTATTTGCTGCTCAATATCGCTTTCTTTCAAGAAAAAAAAATTACTGTCCCCAAACTCTTTTCTACACACACACACACTTGTCTGGTTTGCTATCCTTGTGGGGACTCTCCATAGGTGTAATGGTTTTTCTACTGTACAGATCATATATTATATTGCATATGCATTTTTAGATTTTCAAAAAACTTCATACTGTGTGATTTATTAGCTTGTTTACCCGTGGGGACCTCAATTTGGGTCCCCACCATGACACAAGTCCCCATGAGTCTGTGTGTATTCAGGTTTAAGTCCCCACCAGAATAGAAAAACAGGTACACACAGTCACACACACACACACACACACACACACACACACACACACACACACACACACACACACACACAAACACACACTCAAACACAGAAAAACACAGACACACACTCACACACACACACACACACACACACACACACACACACACACACACACACACCTCTTAGAAAGTCCTGGTTTCTGAAGATAAAAAGCTCATTGCGACAACACAGAGTGATGTTTCTTCTTATGACTCAGCAGCTGATTTGATTGGTTGAAACTCTTCCCACACGCAGTGCAGTGATATGGTTTCTCTCCGGTGTGAATCCTCTCGTGCGCTTTCAGGGTTCCTGAGCGAGAGAACCTCTTGTCGCAGTGCGAACATTTGTACGGTTTCTCTCCAGTGTGAATCCTCTGATGCATTTTCAAGTGCGTGGCTGATTTAAACCCATTCCCGCACTCGAAACACACGTGAGTTCTCACACCGGTGTGTATCTTCTGATGCTCTTTAAAACCATCCAGTCGTGCGAAACTCTTTCCACACAGAGAACACAAGTACGGTTTCTCCTGCATGTGAACTTGCAAGTGTCTCTTTAGTATGGATGACGAAAGAAACGTTTTACCGCATTGGTCGCAGTTAAACGGCCTGACAGCAGAGTGAGTGTGAAGATGCTCTTTAAGACTGCTGACATGTGTGAAGCTCTTTCCACACTCAACACAAGTGTACGGTCTCTCTCCGGTGTGGATCCTCATGTGCTCCTTAAGGTTTTCTTTATAGGTAAAACTCTTTCCGCAGTGATCGCATGTGTGCGGCTTTTCTCCGCTGTGGATTTTGATGTGCCTCCTAATGGCTCCTGAGAGTGCAAAACCTCTTCCGCATTGAGGACAGATGAATGGTTTCTCTCCGGTATGAATCCTTATGTGTCTGTTCAGGCCTGTTTTGTATGCGAAACTCTTGCCGCATTGGTCGCACGTGAACGGTTTCTCTCCGGTATGAACTCTTATGTGATCCACGAGGTTCCTTTTACACCTGAAACTCTTCCCACATTGAGAGCAAGTGAAGGGTTTCTCGCCGGTGTGAATTAGCATGTGGCGCTCAAGGCCGATTTTTTGCGTAAAACTCTTTGCACATTGAGGGCAGATGAAAACTTTTTTGGCTCTTTCTCGTTTTTGGGATTTATTATTATTATTATTATTATCAGTCAGTGAACAACTAAAAGATTTTTCTCCAGGTATGAAATTATGTTTCTCCTCAAGCAGTTCTTGTCTTTCCTCTTTCACTTCCATCAGGTCTACATGAACAGGAAATTAAATCATTAAAAAAATCCCAAAACAAAAGCTTTGCTCTAGATTTAGGAAATTCTCAAAGCCACTGTGGTTTTCTAGCTTCCAACTCTGGTATTATTTGCAGGTTTTATGATGTTATTTCAAAGCTCTTTTGATTTTTCTAACTACACCAGCTAAATCCAATGAACTGCATTCAGCTTTTGAGACCATCATTAATGAAGAATCAAGAATAAATACCAACCTGTTTGTTCTTCAGTGTGTTTCATTCTGCAGGGTTCTGGATCTCTCATGTTCTCTCTGTCCTTCAATAAACTCCGTCTCTGCAGATTTCACTTCTTCCTGATGCTTTGATGCTCGTCTTCAATGTTCCAGCATTTATTGTTGAATTGTTGTTAGAGGAACGTGCTGAAGATGTGATTGTTATCACTGTACAGAGCATTATGTATTCATCTTTGTATATGATCGAAGTATATATCATAAATTCTTATACGATCTTTTCTTTTACATGTATCTGCACCCTAATTAAAATATAGATTAGGGAATATAGAACGAATGTATCGTTCAAACAACATTACGAACTCGCGAATTATCGTTTGGCATCAGTATGAAATCAGTGAATTA